CACTGCCTTCCCACGCGTCCCGCAGGGATGTGGGCGGCGGAGAGCAGAGCCAGGGCAGCCGCGGGAGAGGGCAGGGGGGGTTAGGAAAACACCCATTAAACCACATTAACATTTCATGACCTGATCGGAGGAGAGTAAATTACCCCGTTCAAATTCAGCAACCATGAAAAAGCAAATGACATCTGGGGTTATTAATTAATTGAGAGATGCTGGGGTGGGAGGGGGGGCTGGATCAAATCCACAGAGTTACAGAGCTGATATCTCTGAGCGTTATGGGCCAGGACTCGCGTTTCCCATAGACCCGTTTCCCGAGGGATGCAGCTGGGAGGGAGCGGAGCTGGACCTGCTGGCTGCTGTCTGGCAGGATGGAGCTGGTGAGAGCTGTGGTGGTGGTGGGCACCAGGACAGCTCTGCTGGGGTTTCAGCCAGGGGGACAATTCCAGCACCCTAAAACAACGCCAGCATGGGTGCTGGGGTGGGGCTGGCTGCCTACCCATGATCCGGACATCTGCACCACTCCAGGGGAGCCAGCTGAGACCCACATTTATGCCCCTGGGAGGGATCTGGCCCCATCCACTGGCATTCAAAGGACATTTTCACCTGCCGTGCATCCTCGCAGCTCCAGCTGCCTTCTGCCAGGGCAATGTGATGCTGCTTTCCAGCCTGTTTCTGTCGGGACAGAAAGGAGCTGTTTTGGCCAGCTGTTGGGGACTCCATCAAGGCACATCACCCACCACATTCCCCCTGAATCCCCTCTGCAGCAGATTTGGCCTCAAGAACCCTTCAGGCCCAGGTACATCAGATGCTTTTAAACCCTACTGAAGGCAGGACCTGCGCTGCTGGATGCTCAGGGGGACAAGCATCCCCCAGTGCGAGGGGCTGGCTGCTCACTGGGAGACTGTCCTGGCAGGCAGGGGTCTGAGAACAGCATCGTCAGATGAGCTTAAAGGAGCTATTTTGTTTGGGCTGCAGAAATTCCTCTCCCCAGGAGCGCAGCCAACGCTGCTGGAGAACTGGTTGGATAACTCCCTGGGCCTGTGCGATCAGAGACACAAGCTAAATGGATGCGAGCCAGGTTTCTATGAGCACTTGGGAAGCTGGGTGCGAGCAGGAGTTTAATTAAACCAAGGCAATCACATCAAAGCTGGTCCCTGTGCAGATACCCTTCTTAACTTGCAAGAATTAATTAATGAGTTTGCGTTAAACCTGTTCTCTCTTGATTGAAACGCTGCCTGGCTGAGCTGGTGGCAGTGCCTGCTGGCGCTTGGCAGGTGCTGCACCCATGCCCAGGTTTGCAGTGGCTTTGCACAAGGTGAAAGCAGAGCTGGGAGCTGCTCTGATGGCTCAGCTGACCTGGGGTAATTCATTTGGGCACCCAAAACCCAGCCCCAGCAACCCAGCTGAGCCGTGGATCCCAGCAGACGAGCTCCCCAGCAGGTATAAATGAGGGTAGACCTCCCCCAGCAAAGCTGGGTATGGTTCCTTTGCATCCCTGGGAGATCTGGCTCAGAAGAAGCTGCTTCCTTGCTGCTGGTTTTGAGGGGGTGCCTTGACTTTGAGCACAGATTGTAGTGGGAGGGTCTTGAGAGGGGAAAAAAAGCTCTAGCAGCTTTTTGAAAAAAAACTGCGGGCAGGAGAAAGGTAGAGGTGGGTCCAGCTCTGCTGGTCTCAGGACCAGCTTTGATGATGTAAGTGGAGGGGTTTGGAGCAGAGCAAGAGTTGCACAGCTGCTTGTGGAGGAAGGACGGGAGAGGATGCATGGGCTTGGATATCTTGCGGGTGGTTGGGGGCTGCAGCCTCCCTAATGCCTGTCTGTGATTCCTGTCTTCGCTTCACCCCAGCTGGAAGCTCAGGCTTGGGCTGCAGAGCAACTTTTCCTGGTCAAGCTTCATCTTCAGAGCTTCACTAGAAGGAAGAGTAACGGTCCTAGAGATGTCACGTGCAGCATAAGGTGATTCCCGCTGTTTAATGCCCCCAACCCCATGGCAGCAGGCATGGGTGAGCAGGGGTACAGCCTGGGTGCTGTGACATGCCGTCACTTCATCCTGTCGGGAAAAATCAAGCCAGGATGGAGCGTCATCCCTGGGCAGCAGTGAGGGATGCTTCCCATCAGGCTCCAAAGTGACCCGGGGAATGGCTGGGAGCTGCCTCTGGGATGGAGCAGGCAGCAGCAAGCAGGGGCTGCCCCCTCAGCCTGCGTTTCCGAAGCTTATTGCAGGGAATGTTTTCCCTCTGGTTCAATAAATTGCCGTTCCAACATGCCCTGCCAGAGCAGTTTTGGTTTTGAGCAAACGCTTTGGGTGAAGCCCTGGCTCTGCTGACGTCAATGGCCGAATTCCCCCGGTGTTGGTGCCATCCAGAGCCTCTTCTAAGTCCTTCCCAAAAGTTGCTTTTATGCTCCAGCTTTTCGGTCATCTGGAACAAGGATCCTCACAAGCCCCATGTGTTTTTACTAGCGATAAAATCACGGACTAGAAAAGTGTGTAGAATGTGTGGGAAGGCCAGAAATGCGCCTACCTTTTTGTGCTGCTCTAAAAGATCTCTCAAGAAATAAGGCTATTCAGTGAAACTTCCTAATGATTCCATTTAGAGAGGGAAGTACTTAATATTTCAAATTTTATTTTAAGAAACATGCTTGTTCAGCCCAACGCTAGAGAGAAACGCATTTATCTTGCAGGAAAGCATTTGTTTCTCTCTGGAAAGTGTTTTCCTTGAATTCACTCTTAGCTCGATCATTTGGCTCCTTGAAAGCAGGCAGGGAAAGAACTTGAGAGTGTTCTCCTGAAGGGTTGGGGATCCCAGAGCTGGCTGATGTCCCTGTGGCCATCCCTCCGTGGAGCCTGGCCCTCGACACGGCTCCTGCTCCAGCCCTTCGTGCCAGCGGAGGGATGCTCCTTCCCCCTCCCCTGGTTCCTATAACCCTGGGCACAAGCACACCCGTTGCAGGTTATTTTAGGCCCAATGTCAGGGGTTTTTATCTCTGCTCCCGTGCAGCAGCTGCTCATCCCTGCTCGCTGCTGCTGGAGATGGCTGGAAAATGCCTTGCAGGAATTTTCCTTGTGTGGGGGAAGGTGCCCTGTGTTGAGGGGCATCCTTGAGCCCTGGTGCTGCCTGGGTCAGTCTCAGGGCTAGCACTGGCCACTGCAAGGCAACAGCCCTCAGTCCTGTGATGGGATTCAGTAAGCTGGTTTTGCCTATTGCCTTGGTTCCCCTTCAAAAGGGCTGTGGTGCCAACCCCTTGGCATGGAGTGGTTATCTTCCTTGAGGACCAGAGCAGGTGGGTGCTGCCTTTTCCCTTCGGTGTTCCCAGCTGCATCCCACTCCAGCTGCCCCATGGAACAGGAGTCTGTCAGTCCCTTCCAGGGGAAAGCCATGCCCGGAGCATCTAACGCTCCTGGGGCTCCTGCAGACATGCCTCCCCTTGGCCTTGGGCCAAAGGGGAACTGGAAAGGCTGGATCCCCATGGCCCTGCATCCTGAGACCACCTTCCCCCTGCCCAACATGGCACCTCTCCTTTAGGGAACAGGACTCTGCAAAGCAGGCAGAGCCCACGGGATGCCCGGGAAGGGGATTTATGTCTGGTGGCTCCCTGCCAGGCTCTCTCTCTCACATCCCTGCGGCTCCCGGGCTGGGCTGCTGCCTCCTGACCTCTGCACCTCACTGCAACCTACGCCGGGGCACGAGGCTCCCCCGAGTGACGCAGCACTGGGGCTCGGCGTGGGAAAAGACGTCAGGGCCAGAGGGAGCAGAGCTGCGACCCACGGGGCAGAGCCTCGGTGCCCACCAAGGTCAGCCTTCCCCTGGCTCCAAATGCTGCAGCCGAAATCCTCCAAGGAAAGGAGGCTTTGGAGCCCTGTTTTTGGGCAAAAGCTGTCTGGACCTTGTGGGGTGTCCTTCTCACTCTCCAGCACCAGTGTGCCCTGAACAAGGGTGGCAGTAGTGCCTGAGACAAACCCCATCCGCAACAAGAGTGCGCCGGCATGGTTGCGTAGCTGGGGGTTTCGAGGCAGGGGCAAGTGTGTCATCAGGGCTCTTGCAAGAACATTTTTATTGCCTTTGCAGTCATTTCCCACCAAGGTTCCTTGAGGTCAAGCACTGGGCTGGGAACCACGGGGCCTGATCTGGCACCCCCTACCCTGGGCTGTACACTGCTCGGGGAAACACAGCCGGGCGTGAGCTGGGGGCTAGGGATGCACCCTGTACATCACTGTAGGAGTCCTCTGCAACCCACACTGGGGTTTTTGGGAACAGCAGCTCGGGCACCCAGGGCCACACTGGGCTCCTCTGCACCCTGCTTCTACAAGGCAGAGAACAGACCACACTTCCAACCACGGCGTGCCTGGCTGGGCTGTGGGTGCTTGTACCTTGGTCTAATATCATATGTAACAACTGCATAG